GCAAACGCAGTCTCAGCATCCAGCTCACCTGAAATAGATGAAGTTAGGAAGCTTTAACTTTGCTGCGTGAGTGACTGAAGCCCAGAAGACAGCTTGGTGAATGGAGCTCAGGCTGTTGTCTTTAATGGATATTAGAGTTATTTTCTAATTCAACACTGTGGCCAGTTATACTCTGGCACTGGGAGATGGACACTCTGGTGTTTTCATTTGATTTATAAATAATAATAATAAGAGTAATAATACCACCTTTGTAGAAGTTTGCTTCCACTCCATGACCGTGCCCTTTTTCCTCTCCCTTACTCATCTCTCACCTCAGCCTCCAGGAGCTGATGCAGTGTTTCACCCTCACCTGTCTCTAGTTTCCTCTTTAACGTCTTGTTTAAATCGTGTCTTTAATGTCCCTTTCACCTCTCCAGTCTGTCGCCCTCATCTTCACCCCATTCGCTCCCTTGTTTTATAATTCACCTCTCATCTCGGCCCCCTCCCCTTTCGCCACCGCTCAATGGCTTCATAATATCACTCCCCCTCTCTATATTATACTTGCCTACTCTCTAACTCATTTACTTCTCATTCGCTCTATCTCTCTTTCCACCTTTCTTCTCCTCCTAATGCCTTTTCATTCTTTTGCTCCACCTCTCTATTCCCTCTTAATATCCCGCTGTCTCTCTACCTGAGATATTGAAGCTATAAAGACAGGTGTTCAAAAAGAAAGCCGGGCCAGCAAATCTGTTTTATATGCCTTCTGGCATCATTCCCTGGAATGCAGAAAGAAGAGAGGCAGAGAAAAAGAAGAAAAGGCTGCGGTCTGTAATATCTAATTCTGGGCTCCACGAGGAGAAAAGAAGAACCTAGTTTTCTGTAAAACCTTTTGTCTCCATCACTTGGGACGTACACATTTAATTCACCCTCATTCTGTTATGCTGTTTTTGGTATAAAGCCTCTTATTCGTTCTTTCACTGTGTGGGAACGGGCTGTACACCCTACTGTAACAAAATATTATGGCTTCAAAATGTGCAGATGATGTACAGTAATGTCTCGTCAGCGGCGCAGTAATGGTTACGGGTTACGCAATTTTATCCACTGGAAATGTGAATTATTCACAAAAGCTGAATTTTACAGGGGTGAAGGTGATTTAGACGACATGTTCAACATTACACACACAGGAGGAGCTCCTTCTTTTTATTAATGCTAAATGCTTTCTTACCTCACACAACAGCATCCAGGCTGCTGACGGAGACCAAGTGCATATGGGTGTGTGTGAGTGTGTATTCATATCTTTGTGGGGACCAAAAATTGGAAGTTTACTATACTTGTGGGGACCAACAGCCCTAATGGGGACCCACAAGTTTGAAGGCATTTTTGAGACTCAAAATGTGGTTTTAGTGTCAGGGTTACAATTGGGTTATGGTTAGGTTCAGGGTAAGGGTCAGGGTTAGGCATTTATTTCTGATGGTTAGGGTCAGGGCAAGGGGCTAGGGAAATATTATGTCAGCTAAATGTCCCCACAAGATATGAA